AGCAGGGACAGCCCCCAGGGAATGGCTGGAGCTGTGTCAGGGCAGGCTCAGGGTGGATCTCAGGGAAAGGTTCTTCCCCCAGAGGGTGGTTGGCACTGAACAGGCTCCCCAGGGCAGTGGGCACAGCCCCAAGGCTGCCAGAGCTGCAGGAGGGTTTGGATGATCCTCTGGGGCACAGGGGGTGACTCTGGGGATGGTCCCATCCAGGGCTGAGGATCCTTGTGGGGCCCTTCCAGCTCAGCATATCCTGGGATTCTGAGAGGGTGTTGAAAGGTGGTGGCATGGACACACTTCTCCAGGGCCACATCCACAAGGATTTGAGCATTAAATCCAGGTCTGCCTGAACCCTGAGATGAGCTCAGATGGTCAGAGCATGGTACCGATAACACCAGGGTTGTGGGTTTGGTTTCTGTGTGGACCATTCTCTTCAGAGTGTGACCCAGTGATCCTTGTGGGTCCCTTCCAGCTCAGAATATTCTCTGATTCAACACTGGACTTGATCACCCTGATGGGTCCCTTCCAACTGAGCATATTCTATCGTGCATTCCCACGGATTTGCAGATAGGCCCTTTGGATTTGGCCCCTTGCAGAGGTACCAGCTTTAGGGTTTGCTCTGGGTTGGGACCAGGAGCCAAACTTTCCTGTACTTGGCAAGGCATTCAGTGCTCTGTTTTCTGCTAGAGAAAATTCCTCACTGTGCTTAGGAGGAAACAGTGTGTTTGTTTCTGGTTGGTGTTTGAGGACAAATCCCACCATTTACCAACTTCTCCCAGGGGAGCAGATCATATTTTGCAAGGTTTGCAAGTTCTGTGTGTGAATTTTCATAAAAGTTGTTGGGTTTTTTTTTTTCCCCCTCCACCTCCAGAGAGCACGAAAAGGGCGGGGGGGAGGGAAGGAGAGGGGAGGAGCAGGAAGGGAGGGTTTGGAGCCGGGGGACTCTGACATCTACACGATTAATAGCCCTTGTGGGAACTCCACACAGAGACCCTTATGTCTGCAGATAAAGGCTGGGTCAGCAGTGTGTGCAAACACGCCGAGGGATCAGGAGTGTGAACAGATCGGGGGGTATAATAGAGTCCCTTGGGGACAGGGAAGGGAAGGGGGAGGGAGTGGGGATTGTGCCGGGTTCCAGCAGTGAAATGGAGACCCCAGCAGTCTGTGCGGCCACCGCGCTGGGGCGCGGGGTCGGTGCCGCTGCCCCGGGATGGAGCCGGGCCCTGAGACAGGAGGGAAGGAGTTGTCAAGGTTTGTGAGAGGGAAACACTCACTGAACCAGCTCCCCCACAACAACACTGAACCAAACAGCTCCTTCACAGCAACACTGAACCAAACAGCTTCACCACAACAACACTGAACCAAACAGCTCCTTCACAGCAACACTGAACCAAACAGCTCCTTCACAACACTGAACCAAACAGCTCCTTCACAACACTGAACCAAACAGCTCCTTCACAACACTGAACCAAACAGCTTCACCACAACAACACTGAACCAAACAGCTCCCCCACAACAACACTGAACCAAACAGCTCCCCCACAACACTGAACCAGCTCCCCCACAACAAGGCAGGCTTTTTGTTGTCTGCGGTTGTTGGGACAGTGAGCCCGAGGTGCTCCCTCAGCAGCCAGAAACGCTGAAGGTTTTTGGTGTTTCCCCTCAGCTGTCTGGG